TTGCTTCCTGGAACCGTGTTCCCTTCCGATCGCATCTCCATCGGAGGCTCTAAACAACCCCTGTAGCCGAACCACTCGCCCTGACCTTCCGCCAGGGCAGTGTTGGGACATCCACGTGGGCAGGGCCACACGGGAGGTTTCAGTGTGTGCTGTGTTCTTCTGTGACCCCGTGATCGTCCTTGGTGTGTTCTAGGCGCTGCCGGCTGCCGTGATGATGCCGCCTCAGCCTGTGGTCCTGATGCCCACCGTGTACCAGCAAGGTGTCGGCTACGTGCCCATCACAGGTGCGTGCCACTTCTCCCGCCCTGGGCTCTCGTAGTGCAGCGTGGAGGCTGAGCCCTGTCTGCATGTGACTCGTGGGGCCCTTCCAAACACGAGGGTCTGGTCTTACATTTGAATCTTTTATGCGTCTGTGGAATATAGGATTTTTTTCCCTTGATCATTGGCAAGTTGAAGTTGACGAGGTATGGAAACGTAATTTCTAAACACGTTAGCGTATGCGTTACCGGCACGAAAGATCACGCTCTGTGGGGCAGAGTGAACCGTATGCCCTGATGTTCCCGTTGTGTCGTGTTCATTCGCTTTTATAAAAGTAGCAGTTTGTGGCTGTACGGCAAAATCCAATTGGATTGTAGCTTTCACGCCTTTGAATTTTCAAACTTTAATGTCAGCTGTTGGCTGACTCCCGCTCCTGGCTGCAACGGTGACTGGACTTCACCGGCCCCTGCGGTAGATGGCCGTAAAAGCAGGCAGAACGGAAGAGGCGGCAGCAGGTGGGCAGGCGGGACGGCGATCCCTCCCTGAGAGAAGGGAGGCGGGGCAGCCCCGGGTCACGGTGGCCTCTACCTGAGATGGCACGGTGCAGGGAGTTGGGTCAGAGCACGGTGCCGTGGGGAGCCCTGCTTTGCGTTGAGGTCAGCGTGAGGACCTCTGTCCTTGGGTCTCGGTGGCGCCCTTCCCTGTGGCGGTTAAAGGGTCTGCGTGAGCTTATGGTTTAACTGCCCCTCGTTGGAGGTTGGAGGACGAACAGGCACCTTGTGGGGCTCACCGAAGGTATGAGTGCCCGGGGCGGCCGTAACAGAGTCCCACAGACAGCGATAGCCTAAGGCAGCAGGAATCTCTTTTCGCCCTTCTGGAGGCCAGAGCACAAAGTCGAGGCATGGGCGGGCCGTGCTCCCGGGAGTCGGCAGCAGAGGTGCTGGGGTGGGACCCTCGTGGTCCCCTCTAGCTTCCGGGGCTCAGGCGGCCCGGGCTGTGGCTGCCTCGCTGCCTCTGCCTCCGCCTCCGTGGTCACGGGGCCCCCCCTGGGGTCTGTGCCTGTACCTCTTTTTTCCGGGCGCTGCTCCCGACGGCCATCTTGTTCACGTGTGCCCGGGTGGGGACCTCACACGTGTTTCTGGGGGACGTGCGGGGACCCACACGGCCAGCAGCACCAGGACACATTCGGTTAACGGAAAGTCTGCCTTCTCAGGAGACCAGATGTGTCGCTGGCCTTTTTCTGGTTTCTTAGTTCATTGTATAAATGAGAACTTTGTGCTCAAGTTTGCCCTAAAATGTTTATTTTGGGAAAGGCCAGACTTCTGTGTAATTGGAGACTTTGAACTTCTCTTTTGACGTGCATCGATAAGCTTTGGGACATGGAGTTGCAGGAAGTTACCAAGGAGAGGAAGTCGTTTCTGCCTGGACGTCTCAGACCGAGGCGCCACCGGCCCCAGTCGCATTTCCCGCAAACAAGGACTTGCACCCGCCGCCCCTGTTTGCGTGAAGCTTGTGCTGCAGCGTCTCCTTTGCTGCGAACACAGACTTCCCTGACCTCATCAGGAGGGTGTGCATGTGCGTGACGAGTGAAGTGTGGTGTGCGAGTGTGTGCGTGCGCAAGTGTGACCTGCGGTGTTCGTGTGCATGGGTGTGCACGTACGTGACGCGTGTGTCTGTGGACCCTGCTTCCGGAGGGTAGGCAGAACCTTTGAGCTGTGGCCCCCACGGGAGGGGGCTAACTATAGGTGCTACCCCCCCCCCCCCGGCAGGCAGAGACCCATGAGCTGCAGGGGTGGGGTGGGGGTCCCATGGGGGAGCTGATCCTGGGAGCGCTAAGAAAGAGCCTTTCAGAAGTTCTCTCTGCTTCCGGGTTTTTCTGAGCCAAAGTAGTACCTGGGAGGCACGGTGGCCGTGGAGCCAGGGCGTGAAGGACGCCAGTTCCTAAGAGATGGCGAAAGGTGCCCCCTGGTCTGGAAAATCCTCCGCCGCTGTTCTGCCCGTGTTTCCATCCATCCTGTAGACAGTGGACTGGAGAGCTGGGTCCGCGGTTCCTCCCGGCTTGGCGTGCGATAAGAAATGCTCGCGGGTGCGTGCCTGGCTCTCGGGTTTCGCTAGCGTGCTCGTGGGCGGCAGAGGGACCCGCCTGGTGCACGGCCTGCGCCGTGGTCACCAGCGGGCCGTCCACCCCCTGTGCCGGCCGTTCCCTGGCAGAATTGCTTTGTGGCCTTCAGGTCCCGCAGGCGGGCCCCTGTGGTATGATCCGGGACTTTAAGAGACCGCAGCTCGAGCGGCGCATCCCGGCTCTGGGATAGCGAGCACCTGCTGGGGAGGAAGGCCGCGGGCGGTGGAGTCGTGCGTGGGGCCGTGGGCCGGAGCTCGGTGTGGGCGTCGGTACCATCGTGGGTGCCCCTCAACCGCATCTCACTTGCAGGTGTGCCCGCCGTGTGCGGCCCTGGCGTGGTGCCCGTGGCCCTGCCCCCGGCGGCCGTGAGCACCCAGCCCCGCTGCAGCGAGGAGGATCTGAAGGCCATCCAGGACATGTTCCCCAACATGGACCGGGAGGTGATCCGCTCCGTGCTGGAAGCCCAGAGAGGGGACAGGGACGCGGCCATCAACTCCCTGCTCCAGATGGGCGAAGAGTCCTAGGGCCCCGGCTGCCACGCTGCCTCTGCCCCTCTCGACCTGCCGGCCCCGCCCCCCTCCCCGTTCCTGTGAAGGAGCCCCGTGTAGCCTTTTCTCAGCCATCTGTAGCCCCATTCCTCACCCTCGTTTGGGATGCATGCGGGTCGTTGGTCCCCAGCCACTGAGTGCCACCACCGCTTGGGTGCGGGTGTGGGCGGGCCTGTCCCTCACTTTGTCGGGAGAAGAGTGGGCACGTGGGCCGTGTCCTGTCCACACGCTCTCCCCCTGCCGCTTAGGGACGTGTGTCTTCAAGTGCCGTGTGCTTCTGCTCCGCACGCTGTCCCGAGAGCGCTCCGTGCGAGCAGCCTGACTCTGCCGGCGCTTTAGAAAGCGTCCCGTGCCCGCCTGGTTTGACGATGGCATGCGGTTACTTTACTCATTCGGGGTAGACCTCATATTTCAGGCACATAGGACATTGACAGCCGATCGGGATGGTTTTTACGAGTCAAGCTTCAAATTCACGTCCGTCCCTTGTTCCTTGTCTGTGGTCCGCGGCCGCTCACCAGCGCCCTGGGCAGGCCGACCTCTGTGTTGCCGGCCAGCAGCAGGTTCAGCGCTGATGTCCGTCCACCCGCCTGTCCCCACCCGTGGGCTCTGGAGCAGGGCTGCCCTGGGGACCCCGTTAAGCATTTTCCTGCTGTGTCTCACGCCGACTTTGTGGGCTGTTTTTCCGAGGGACTGCCCCTCCGCTCCCTGACCAGCTCTTGGAACAGAACGTAAAACCGAGGGTGAAAAGTAGAAGGGCAGTACTTTGTATTTGTTTATTAAAGGGTATCGGGAACCGTTGGCTTACAACTGACGTTGATTTAAGTAAATGTGTACCGGTCCTGCGGGTTCAGTTTGGACAAAAAAAATAGCAAACCGATGAATGTTCAAGGCTTCCTAGAGGCAAGGGGTGCACGTGCGGCGCTGTGGACCGCGTGGCGGCCGAGGCTCCCGTTGTGACCACAGGATGGGACAGGGCGGGGGACACCTTGTGGAAATCTGCAACGTGGGAGGGGTCTCGGGCACTGCTTGGCCCAGGCGCGTGCACGCACACTCGCCTCCAGACGGCCTGGTTGCCGTGGGCCCCGCGGCCCCCGACGGTGTGGCCCTGCGAAGGCTCAGCCTGAGGACCGGACTCCGTCCAGCCTTCGCTGCACGCGGGGCCTCCTGTCAGTTGGAGGATGCTGCCGCCAGCGGTGAGTGCGCGGTGGCCCGGGGTCGGCGCACAGAAGCCTGAAGGAGCGTGTCCGGCTGGCGTGGCGGCCTCACCGGGAGAGGGTTCTCCATGAAGATTTGCCTCCACTGAGTCCCGACCGCCGGCTAGGACGTGGGAGCCCTGCCTTCTCGCGAAGCAGGAGTTCCCACATCGGACGGTTTGGGCCCACGTCCTCGCGCAGATCCCTCCCCGAACGGGCGAGAGCGTCGGGCAGGCCCGCGGCTCTCACTTGGGGGCGACCTTCACGGACACGCATCCGGGACCCCAGGTCCCCCCCGGGCCCCAGTGCCGCCTTCTGCCTTAAAGCTGTGGGGGTGTTTGTGCGTGTCAGGGACGTGCCCCCCTCGGGGATGCACGGGGCCCGGGCTGGCGGGAGACTCCCTTTTCTTGCCAACACCGTGTTTGTGGCGCCTGCACCCGGCCGGCCGTGGCCGCCTGCGCTAGGCTGTCCTTTCCTCCCGCGCGCCCCACTGTCCTGCGTGTGGGCTCGAGCCTGTGGCGGCCCGCTCCTCCTGGGGGATGGCACGGTTCCTCCGAGGCGGCCGCGGCGTGGCCACCACGGACCCGCATGAGCCAGGGCGGCTACCGGGGCCCCGGGGCCTCCGCCCTCCGCGAGCTGGTCGGTGGCGTTTCCTCTGGTGGCAGCCCCGGCGCTGTCAGGGCGGTGAGGACGCGGTGTCTGTGCACGTGGGTTCTTCCCGCGGCTCCTTCAGCGAACAGACCCCCTCCAGCGGCACGTGTGCGGCGTGCTGGCGGCAACGATCCTCAGAGCTTTCTCGAGCGTCTGTTGGGGTGCAGAGTCCAGATCTGTCTTTGTAAAATATATTTTTGCTTATCAGCCTTCTAATTTAATAAATGATATCTATAAAAATAGAGAATTAAACTCCTCCGATGAAACTTGACCGTCTTGGTTCCCGAGTGGTTTTTCACTTTGCTTGGAGCACACTGGCTAATAAATCACTTGCAGGATGTACGACTAGAGGGAAAAGCCGCTGGCTCGGTTCAGAACGTTACCCTGAAAGGGCAGGAGGTTTGCGGTTTGGATTCCAGGGACGGGGAGGGGCCCCCGGTGCCGCGGGTGGGACTTGTCCTGCGTTTGCGCCTGGAGTCACGACCTCACCTCCGGGGACTCGGGCTCCGAGTGGGTCTCCGGAGGGCGCCCGCATGACCGAGGGGCTGCGGCAGCAGGCCGGCCTTCATGGCCCGGCCCGCAAGGGAGGTGGCCCTGTGCCCCCACCCCGTCCCCAAGGTGGGGTCCCGCAGGGTGTGCTGCTCCACGGGGCTCGCTGCCGCTGGCTCTGTGTCCCCATAAATGCCTTCTGCCCACAGCGGCTGAGGATGGCGTGTGCTCATGCCGACGGCACGTGAGGAAGCCAGGAGCACGCCTCGTTCGGACCCTGGACGCAGCACCCAGAGTGCCAGAGAGGCCGAGCTCACTGCAGGGCTGAGCTAGAAGAAGACGTCCCCGAGCGTCTGTGGGGGCTGCGTGGAGCATTGGGGGGGACGGGGGGGTCCGTCTGTCTGCTCCCCAACGTTCCCCAGACGCGCACCACGAGGCAGGCGCTCCGTCATGCTGGCAGGTGCTGTGGTCCTAGGCACCCAGGACGAGCCTCCTCAAGGCCACGGGCCTGGCTCCAGATGGAGGGGCCGCTGTCCAGCTGGTGCGAGAGGGAGCTGGAAGGGAAGGCAGCCCAAGGAGGCAAGCCGGAGATTGCTGGAAGCCCGCAGCCCTGGGAACCCCCGAGGAGAGATCGTGCTGCGTGCCAGGAGCAGAAGCACGTTCTTCCTGGAAGGACACCGTGTGGGCCCAGCCTCCAGGGACCGAGCGGGCACACAGCCCCAGGACGTCTGTGTGCACGGGAGCGGCCGTGAAGCACGGCTTGGGAGCATGAGACCTTCAGACCTGCCCCGAACACCAGCGGGGACTTAAAATGGGAAAACAGGACAAAACGCAGAGTGGGAGCAGAGGACGAGAGGCTGAGAGACCGGAAAGAAGCCCGCAACTGCCGGAAGTGAGGACACAGCCACTGGACGTGGCAGCTGAACGGGCAGACTGCCGGCGGGTTGGACACTGCCCAGGAGACCGTGGAGCGGTTCAAGAGCCACATGCGCCCCACGGAGCGTGGCACCCAGTGCCCATGACTGTGTGACACAGATCTGGGGCTCGGGGCTCCCCCTTAACCGCAGGAGCTGTTACTCAACATCACGGGGATCACTGGTGGGGTCTGCTGGTGTCGCAGCCGTGCACTCAGCCGAGGCATGACGGCGGGTGGGTCTGTGGCCCCGTAGACGCGGATGGTAATGGGGCCCTGGTGGCCCATCTGATCCCGGGGTGCCCCTGGGAAGGGCTGAGGTCACTGTCCTGTCTGCTTGGCATAGTGTTGTAGGGCCGTCCGTGGGGAGCACAGCCTCTCCTCCAGCCGACAGCGCTGGACGCGGGGAGGGTCCCGGCCACCCGTCGAGAAGGCGGGCGGCCCTCTGCTCTTCCGTGTGAGCACACGTCCTCCCCAGCGGCCCCTCCAGCTTGCCCCTGGAGCCCCGATGTCTGAAGCCTGTCCTTGCAGATGGCCGCCCCCCAGGGCCCCGCGCCCCTCCCCCTGCCGTCTGGGCGTCTGCTATTCCGACGTGCTTGGGGCCGGTGTCTGAGGCTGTGCCGCCCCGGGGGCACAGGCTGAGCCCTGGGGTCCCCTCCTCGGCACCCTCAAAGGCGGTTCTGGGCTGGTCGAACTGCCAGGAGCCAGCCTGGCAGCACATGGTCCCGAGCTGTCCCAGAGGCAGCCTGGGCTCTGGCCCCCGGGCCCGTGATCCCCTGAGCCGTGCTGCCACTGAGAGCACCACCTCGTAACCTTCACGCCCCGGTTGTCGTTTGCTGTCGCGGCTGCTCATCGTCAGGGTGGGGGGGGCTGCTGGCCCGTGTGGCGCCGTCTGCCACCGCTCCTTCTGTGCACTGGCTCCGTGGTTTTTCGAATGCACGATCGTCTCGTCTGCAAGTGGAGGTGGTGTCTCTGTCTGCGCATCCGGCCGGCTGCTGTAAGAGGACACCGCAGATGGGACGTAACGGTGGACACTGCTTTCTCACCGCTCTGGAGGCTGGACGCCCACGATTTGGTGTCTGGAGAGGGCCGTCCTCTCCCTGTGTCCTCACGTCACAGAAGCGGGGAAGTGGCCCACTGGGACCCTTTTACCAGGCGCCAATCCTGTCCTGGGGGCTGCGCGTCACGACCTCGTGACCTGCCAAAGGACGCCATCACACCGGGGGTCAGGCTTCCACATAGGACCTTGGGGGGCTCGTTCAGTCTGCAGCAGATGGCTTGCCTGCCCTCCCAGTGCCCACGGCCCTCGCACCTCCACACAAGCGAGAGAGATGTCTGAGAGCAGACCCTGGCCGCTCCTGGCAGGTGCTCGCCCTGGGCCGGGGCAGAGAGGTGGGAGGAGAGGGTGAGGCAGGGCCTGTGGGGAGGGCTCTTCCGCCTGTGTTGCGGGGCCCCAGGTGGTGAGCTGGGGCGTGGACACGGCGCGTGTCACTGCGGGGCCCCCACGAACATTTCCACGTCGGGTCCAGCTCAGAGTGCTCAGGGTTCCGGTGGGAGAAGGCCCAGCTGGGGGGCGTGGCCAGGAGAGGGGCTTTGGGACAGGAGTGGGGACGTGTGTGCAGAGGCAGGACCGAGGATGCAGGAGGTGGGGGCTCGGGGAATCTTCCTCTCACCTCTGGACGTCCTCCTGCCTCTGCCCTCGCACCTGCTCAGGCTGGGTCACGTCCTTCGTGTGCCCAGAACGCCCGGCAGGCCAGAGCCCCTGCAAGGGTCTCCGGGTCCTCTCCTACACCCACTCCCCGACCCTGCTCCAGCCACGGCCGGCAAGCCCCGCCCCAGGGCCTTTGCACAGACACTGGCCTCCCTTGGCCCCTCCTCAGCGTCCCCTTGTTGAGCCACCTGGCAACTCCCTGCTCCTTCCCACGCCTCCCAGACCCTCTGGACTGACGCGCATCATCCTTCACCTTCCCACCGTCCTCACGGCAGATGCTGGCTTGCGGGGGAGGGGAGCCCGGGAGAGCCGGTCTGCTGCTCCTGGCTGTGGTTTCCCCTGCGCCCAGACAGGCATGGAGGGCTCCAGTCCCGGCCTCACGTCCGTCCGCTGCGGCCCTGGAGTAAACGAGAATTCCCTCCGGTCGCCCGCTGTGCGCGAGTGCGGGTGGCGCCCGGCGTTTGGGTGCGCGCAGACCCCAGCCCTTCTGGGCGTCTTCCCTGGGTGCTGAGAGCTTATTGTTAGCATGATCTCTTCGATTTTTGCTTTTGAAAAGAATCCGCAAACACCTGCTGAACGGTTCGTCTCTGAAGAGCAGTCTCTGTGGGAGGAAAGCCGCAGCTGGTTTTAGGGGAGGCTTGGAGCTCTCGGCGGGGGGCGGGGAGGGGGAGGCCTGGGAGCACCACACGGCAGAGCCCCCAGGAGAAGGCACTGGCCCCACGTTTCCGCTGGCGGCCGTGGAGCAGACCCGACCCGGGACGCGAGCACACAGCGTGGCCGGGAGCGCGCGCGTGTGTGTGTGTGGTGGCACGAGGCGGTCGGCTCCTGGAAGACGCTCACCCTGGTGGAGCCCAAACCGTCTTCCTACTAAGCTGTAACGCCCGATGCCTGTTAACCGCGGGCATCAGCAGAGTTAAAGCAGAAGACCTCACGTGTGAAGGGAAAGTGAAAACGTACAGACCTTACGATGAGTCGCTAACTCCACCGGGTTCGTGTGGGTGGCATGAACACGGCGTGTGGCATTCACGCCTGTGCGGGCAGGGCGGGGTGCGTGCGGCGTGGACTGAGGGGCACAGGGGAGGAGGGTGAGGCCTGGGCCCTGGGCTGGGTGGCGCTCTGCCCTCAAAGCTGACCCACCTCGAAACTCCACGCCCCATGCTTCCGAGGTTCCCGACCGCAGGCCCCAGACGAGCTGGACGGTCGGGGAGAACGAGGACGTGACCC